AGCTCCGCAATCCCTTCCCGAGGGTGACGCCCTCCCTGCGGGGGTTTTTCACGCTCTGGGTGTGGCACACCCTCATCCCCAGAGCAGGGCAGGGCACACGTGGCCTGGGGAGATGTTGCACTGTGGGGTTATCGTGCACAGAGACAGGCTGTGCTCCAGGTTTTAGTCCAACGTGGGAAAACTAACTGGCAAGGCAAGTGCCTGGTGCCCAAGCAGCCCAGCCACAAATGGGCTCTGTGCCATTAGCCTCACTGCAGCAAAGGCACTGGGGTGCTCCCCTTCCCCAGCAGTGAACACATGCTTGCAGTGAACACATGCTTGCAGTGAACACATGCTTGCTCCTGGCTGCAGTTCTGCAGAAACCGTTCCCTCAACAGCTCCGCTGTGGGAGCCAAAGCAGTGTGGGCATGCTGCAGGCAGCACGAGCCACCTCCCAGGCTGTACTGAGCAAAGTATGGAGCTCTCAAAAAATATTTATTATCCAGAAGTAGAAAACCCATCCTGCCAGTGAGGGCCTGGCTGGATGTGTGGAGGAGGTGGGAGCCCGGGGGCTGCTCTGGCCCCACAGGCACCAGTCCCAGTGGTGCTACGTCTGCAGGAACTGGGGCTGCACCCGGGCCACCTTACGGAACTCCTTGGTGTGTGTCCGTGGGCACTGCATTTCACACCAGCTGATGGGCACCATCTGCACCCCTAGGAACACCACGTGGTCTGGGTTTCCCCTTCCCAAAACTGCCTTCCTCCATATGGAGAGGGAAGCATCCACAGCATATGCCCCTCGGGCAGGGATGAAGCAGGACTGTCCCAGCTGGGGCCCTGCCTGTCCCATCCCTACCTGCTTCACTGCGTGCCACCACCACGCCCAGCTCGTTCTCGGCCGTGCTAAGCAGGTAGTTGGACTGCGCGTCCCCCAGGGAGATCTGGTCGGACAGGGGTTAAGGGAAAGATTTTTCCGAGGGGGCTTGAGCCAACCCACTGTCCCTGAGGGGGAAGGATACGACTTTGGCCAGGACGATGTCACTGGGGCGGAAGCTCTTGTACACTTCTACCTGCACAGGAGAGAGCAGGGAACACCGTACAGCACAGGGGCACCGTCAGCAGGAGGGACTGGGGCCCCCACCAGCAGAAAGCAAGGGCAGCTGTGGTAGAACAGTCACTGCCAGTGCCTCACTGACCTTATCCTTCTCCGTGGCTCGGATATCTTCTCTCCTGAAAATGAGACGGAGGGATCTGAGTGCAAAAGAGCAAAGGTGCCTTGACAGCCTGTGGCAGGAGCTGCCACGGCCTCCCTGGGCACTGGCCAGGACCTGCTGGACACCTGCCCAGTGCTCAGGGCAGAGCTCCAGCCAGGACACTCAGCTGCACTGCTCACAACAGCCTTTCTCTCCCATGGAGGGTGGGGGATCCCAGCCTTCTCCCTACCGTATGGTCCCTCGGAAGGTGGATTTCAGTGGCGTGGAGCCGACGTACAGGATGTGCACCTTGGCAAAGCGAGAGTTAATGCTGCAGACCTGCCCATGAGAAAAGGGGAAATCAGTGCCAGCACCCCAGTCTAGGCAGGGAAAGGGCAGGGAGCAGGCAGGATAGGGCTGCATGGGGAGCTCAGGTCTCACTCCACCTCCCTGTGACCAAGCAGTGGTGGGATACCTGGCAGTGAGTTGAGCAAGGAAGACGATACTTGGGCAACTCCAGGCACTCAAATAAGGCAGAGACCTGCTGTGACCCCAGTCCCTCTCCCTCCCATCAAGAATGTAAGGAAACTAATCCCTGGTCTGTGCCAGCCTTTCTCTAAGCTGCCCCAGGCAGTGACCTGCACACCCCCTGCCCTAGAAAGAGTTCTGGAAGGGAGAGCAAAGAAAAATCTCCCCTCAACCTCAGGGCAGGTGTCCCCCATGCCAATATCAACTTCCTTTGTGAGCGAGGGACCCAAGGGAGGCCCTGGGCTGCCTCTGCCCTGCTGGAAGTTGTATAGGGGGGACTAACGAGCCAGGGGCTCTTCATCCCACCCCATCCATATGCAGCAACAAAGCTCAACATGAGGCAGAGAGAGCCGAGGCAATTTGTCACCGCAGCGCTCCGGAGCCCCACCTTGCATGTCACGACAGCCCCCACGTTGGGCAGGAGCTGGGACTCACTGTCTCTGACCACTGACACCACGGGCAGCTGCGGGGCAAGACACGAAGTCAGAATCACCGGCCGAACCCCGTCGCAGTCCAACTCCCCGTCAGAGCCCCGTCCCCGGCGAGGTTGTGCAGCTCGGGCGCACGGCAGCCAGCCCCGGGGAGAAGCAGCTGAGCCGCGGCCGCGCTCACCCCGCTGTCCTCGCTCCTCCGCTCCAGGCAGCCGGCCAGCGAGGAGAAGATGAAGCCGTGCCGGGTGTAGGTCCCGCTGCCAGCCGTGGCCTCCTCCGTGCTGCACAGCCGCTCACCTGCGAGACCGGGGCTCAGGGGCTGCCAGGGCATCTGGGCCCCGCACCGCCGCGGGCACAGCGCCCGCTCCCAGCTGGCCCAATGCTGGACATCGCCGGGGCAGCCCCCTCCCCAGTGCCTCCGCCCGTACTCCTCGCCCGGGCCACCACGTCCCCCTCCCCGGGCAGCCCCGGCCGCGGGAGCCCGTGGCCGCACTCACCAGGGACGCAGTACCGCGAGGGGGGCGCCATGTTCACTACCGGCAGGGCCTCCCCAGAAAGCCCTCACCTCATTGGTGACTGGCGGCAAGGCCGCGCTGTAAGCGGCGCGGCTATTGGTTCTCTCTTACTCAGCACGGAGCCCGGGCGCGCTGCCTGCTGGGGGCTGTAGTCCGGCGGCGGGGGAGGGCGCTCCCGGCGTGCCGTGCGCGGGCGCTGCCCGTGGGTCGGCGGGGCCGGGCATGGAGGCGGCGGGTGGCGGGCGCCGGGCGGCGGCGGGCGCAGGTCGGCGGCACCGGGCAGGGCTGGCAGGGCCCTGCGAGGGGCTGGGGGCCCGCAGGGGCTGCGGGTGCCGAGCGGCTGGGCGGGCTGGGAGGCGGTACAGCGGTTCTGTGAGGCGGGGAGTGCGGGGGCCGGGAGGCGGCGGGGGATGCTGGGGATGCTGCGGGTGCTGCGGGGCAGGAGGTGCTGGGACGGGCCCGGGGGGCTGTGGGGGGCTATCGCCCTGGGGTTGCGGTTGGGATGGGATGCAGTGCGGGGCATGTTGCGGGCCTGGAGGTGCTGCGGGGCGAGGAGCGCCTGGTGGTGCGGTGGGGCTGAGGGATTTCTGCTGTCGGCGTGGGCATCCCTTGAGGATGGGGCGGAGTGTCGGGAGTGTCACGGCGCTGTAGAGCTGGGTGCTGCGGAACAGGGGGAGCCGGGCGCTCTGGAGCCACCGGGGGGTGCCACAGGGCTGCGCTGGACCGGGCAGGAGCCAGGGCCCCGTCTGTGCCTGGGGTAGGGCTAAAGCCACAGCTCCCACCCCTGGGCTGTGATGTTGCCCGTGGTCTTGGCTCTGCTGGTGGTTGCTGTCCCATCCCCGTGGGCTCGGTGCACCGCTGGGATGTGTGGAGGGCGATGGGGAGGGCGAGGGCCGGATGCCAGTGCCTGGCTGGGCAGAGGAAGATGTGTGGCTCTGCTGGAGCCTCCTCCCTGTGGTTGTGCTGCTGTCTGCAGAGGTGTCTGGGGACAGAGAGGGATCTTGCCCTGGAGCAGGGTGGCTGCCTCCCCTGTGGGCTCCCTGCTCAACAGCTGCTGGCTGTTATAGGTGAGGAAGCCTCTCCAAGGGACAGGGACATGCTGTATCTTTGGAGGGGAGGGCTGACCTCAGCACTTGCTGCTGGGTGCAGCATTTTGTCTCTTACCACAGTGACAACACAGGCACATGTGCCACCCAAAGGCTGCAGGGCAGGAAGTTGTTGCTCTACTTTGCACCTGATGAGTTTCAGGGAAAAGCTCTTGGCAGACTCATGAGAAAACACAGAGGAGAGGGTGGTGCTGGGATTTGTATATCCCACCTCTCCCTTGCCAGGGAACAGAAAATATGAGCAGGAGCCATACCTGGGACCTGGAGTGGGCTGCTGAGTCTGGGGTCCTCATGTCCAGCAGCTCCCAACTGTGGGATCAACCCTACACTCCTCAGGCAGGGCAGAGGAGAGCCCTGGCTCCTTTGTTAGTCCATCTGGATGGTGGAGAACCTGCCCTCGCCCTCCTTGCTGCTCCCCAGGGGCTGTGCTGGTGGGCACAGCAGTGCAGAGAGATGATCCCTGCCAGAGGGACTCTGAGCTCTGGCACCACTACCTGGCACTGCTCCAAGGCAACTGCTTGGCCCAGGCTCGAAACGTGCCTTGGCAGGACCCCGGGGCAGCCTTGCTGCTTAATATTGATGGTACTGCCCATACGGAGGCCCGGGGGCACCAGCCCTGCAGATCGTTTTCCCAGATCGGGTTCCTCGTCACTCCCAGCAGAGCTCCCGGTCAGGATGGGGGCTCAGCAGCCAAGGAAGCATCGGCCTGGGGCTGCCCCGGGGCCACTCCTTCACTGGTGCATGGCATTGTCTGAGGATCCAGGCAAGGAGAAGGAGGAAGTGTTGGGACTCTTGGAGTGGGGCTGTGAGGTTGAGAAGGGCACAGGGTGGCCTCTGCTGCTTGGTCCAGAGGCTGAGGTGAAAGGAAGTAGCATCCTACTTTTTGGGGTTATGGAGGGATTAGGGGAGGAGGGGTAATTCTGTACTGGCTTCTCCGTGTATGTCTTGTGTGGGTTCTCCTGTTCCTGAACCTATTGGGAAGTGCTGGGATCATCCCTGGAGCTGGCCCAGTATCCTGGATGCTCATGTCTTCTCTGGTTTCCTTTGAGTCAGACTCTCCGTGTCACTCCCCCGGCCCCCTCCCCGCTGGGAAAGACGAGATGGGACCAGAGAGCACCTGAGCCTAGATGCTGAGGGGCCTGTGCCCCCCGCTCTGCGCAGAGACACATCCCAGTGACACTGGCCCCACAGCCTCCCAGAGCCTGGGCTCAGCTCCTCTGGCTCTGCATCCTTGTCAGCTCAGGAAGCTGCTCAACTGGCATCAGCACATCTGGGAGGGGAGACCCTTCTCAAGGGACAGCCAGGCAGCAGGGCGGCCTGCCCACACCGAGCTCCTGTCCCCCCCAGGCGTGGTGTGGCAGGGATGAGGAGCCGGCAGCGGATGTTTGCCGCGGTGATGCGCCTGCTCCTCAAGTGCCTGCGGCTGGGCCGGCGGCGACGCTTCAAGCTGGTGCGGCAGGTGGAGCAGCTGTGGCACTACGGGCACCTCTGCCTCCGCTCCTTGCTCTACAACTCCTTCACCAACGGTGATGTGGTGCTGGACTCCCTCTTCGAGCCTGTCTACTGGCTGGTGGACCACGTCACCCGGTGGTTCGGCGTGGTGAGTCCCCTTGGCATGGTGACCACCTCTCACTGGGCAGGGCACACCCAGCACTGGGGCTACTGTGCTGCTGGGGCAACTGAGTCTCAGGAGTGCCTGTGCTCCAGGCAGGAAGAGAGCTGGGACCTCAGTGTGTACTTCATATTGGTTTCCTGTGGCCATGTCCTGCCCATGCCTCTCCCCAGGCAGTGAGGGGCAGGCACTGCCCACTCCAGTGACCCAGGCCCCTTTCCCATAGGTGTTTGTGGCACTGGTGATTGGGCTGACGAGCTCCATTGTGGCCATCGTGTACATCTGCCTGCTGCCCCTCATCCTGCAGACCTACACACCTGCCTGGATCTGCTGGCACCTGGCCTATGGACACTGGAACCTCATCATGATTGTCTTCCACTACTACATGGCCATCACCACCTCACCAGGCCACCCACCACAGGTGAGGCACTAAGTGGCAGCGTAGCCTCTCCCAGCTGGACACTGGGGACTAGCTACAGATGGTCACTGGGAACAGCCTGGTGGTGGTGTTGCAGGAGGCCTCCTCCAGATTGGAAACTAGGCTGGGCAGTGCAGAGAGGGGAGGCAGAGGGATCACAGGGGAGGTGAGGAGTGTGAGGTGCAGGGGACAGGTGCAGGGTTTAGGTGCACAAATCTCTTCTGACCTGTGCACAGGCCAAGAATGACCTTACCGGCGTCTCCATCTGCAGGAAATGCATTGCCCCCAAGCCAGCTCGCACCCACCACTGCAGCATCTGCAACAGGTAGGGCACCCTTCCTCTGCCCCTTTCCTTGCCTCCTGTCCCACAACAAGATAGGGGCCCTTCCCCTTTGCTCTGCTGGCTCATTGCCCTGTCTCTTGCAGCCCACAGAGCTGGGGGGGTGCCTGTCTCCTCCCAAACACAGCGCTTGCGCTGGCTCTGACACTGATGCTGCTCTCTTCCCTCCCAGGTGCGTGCTGAAGATGGACCACCACTGCCGTATCCTTCTGCAGTACTGACCAATGGCACTCTCCTGGGGGCAGCTGGCCCTGCTTTCCCCTTCTCTTGCTGCCCTACTCCTCTTGTGGAGAGTCAGCAAGCACAGGGATGAGTGGTCCCTGGGGTGGGTTTGAACCCATGGTTTGTCACGGTTAAGTACCTTTAACCCCAGAGGCAGCCTGGTTAAACAACTGTGTGGGACACTACAACCACCGCTACTTCTTCTCCTTCTGCCTGTTCATGACCATGGGCTGCATCTACTGCAGCATCAGTGGCTGGGAGATGTTCCGGGATGCCTATGCAGCCATCGAGGTGAGCAGGCAGGCCCCGGCCCTTACCTGCCATGCACTGAGGCTGCCTGGGCTCCCCAGGCTGAGCTTGCAGAGCAAGGCTGGGCCAGGCCCAACCATGTAGTGACTTTGCTTCCTCTCTCCCTCCTCCTGCGAGGCCCCCAGCTGCTCTGGTCCTGTGGGGGTGTGAGGGGAAGGGCCCCTGCCCCTCTCCTCTGAGACACATAACTGGTGCCGTTTTCCGTCCCCCTAGAGAATGAAACTGCTTGACAAGGAGAGACTGCAGGTGGCTGCCAACCAGGTGGGACATCCCTGCCCCCCAGCTACTCCAGGCTGTGTGGAGCAGAGCTGCTCTGCAGGCTGGGTCCTGCCTGGGGCCCTACTCTCAAGGAGTACCCCACATCAGAACCAGCCCCCATGCTCATCTCACATGTCAGAGAGCTGCAGCTGGCCAGGCAGCTCTGCTACAGACACTGCCTCCAGCAGCTTGGGGTCTGCCTCTCTGTGCACCCAGCTTCCCGGGGCTTGGGCTGGTGACAGCTGCTTGGCATGTGCTGCTCAGGCCACGGTCTCCTGGGGAAGCTGCAGCACTGGGTACACATCTCACCCTGACCGTCAGCTGCAGGGTCCTGACCAGTCCCATGGCTGCTCCCTTACTCCTTACCTCCAGCCCACTGCTCCTCATGCCTGTGCCAACTCTGGGTATCTGTCTGTCTGTCTCGTGGCTGTCTTAGGCTGCCTCTCCCTCACCCTGGCTGTTGTGTTAGTTCCAGTTGCAGTCCTTTCTTGCTGTTCAAGCTCTGCAGCAGTGAGAGGTGCAGCAGTCCCTGTCTGGCTTCAAGCCATAAAGCATTTTGGGTAATCCCCCCTCCTCTGATCCTTTTTCAGACCTACTACCAGACCCCACCACCCACCTTCTCCTTCCGCCAGCGAGCTTTCCACAAGAGCGTGGTCTACCTCTGGGTCCTGTGCAGGTGAGGGGGCCCAGGGGCTGGGGGAAACAGCATGAAGCCTGTGACACTGCTCACCCTCCATCTGCCTGCAAGCTGGCCTCGCTTGCTCTAGTGCAGACATCCCTGCCCTGCCAGCCTTCAAGCCACAGAGGAGGAGAAACAGTATCGCTCTGTCACAGGGGATTAGACAAGCCGACCCACTTATGCAGCTGTGGGTGTTGGGAGGCAGCCTCAGCTCCCGCCAGCTGCAGCACCAGGAAGGGAAGGCCTGAGGCCAACCTGCAGTCCCTTGTCATTCCCAGCTCGGTTGCACTGGCCCTGGGTGCCCTCACGCTGTGGCACGCTGCCCTCATCACCCGTGGGGAAACCAGCATCGAGCGGCACATCAACAGAAAGGAGAGGCAGAGACTGCAGAAGAAAGGCAAGGTGAGCACAGCCCATGGCTTGCGGGGCTGGCCAGTGCAGAGCCAGACATGATGTACCTCTCCCCATCCTGCAGGTCTTTAGGAACCCCTATAGTTATGGCAGCTGGGATAACTGGAAGGTGTTCCTGGGTGTGGATGTGCCAAGGTAAGAGCCCTAGGGAAGCCTCTGCCCGAGAAGGTGGTGGCTCAGCAGCTTATGGGGGTGTGGGGACAACAGGGACTTTCCTTGGGTAGCTGGGGGAGAGCAGCTCTGCACTGCTCTGGGCTTTGTAACGCACAGTAGGCCACATCTGCCCTGTGGCTCCTGAGTCTTGCCCAGTGACAAGGTGTGGCCTGCCCGGCACACCTTTGCCAAGAGAATCCCAGCTGAGGAGCTGAGCCATTGCAGCAGCTCAGGACATGGCTCACAGCCCTGGCTTGGCTCCTCAGAGCACAGAAGCACCAAGATTTCAGGTTTCGTCTGTGGCCTCACTCCTCTCCCCACAGGCACTGGCTCACCCGGGTCCTGCTGCCCTCTCCTCACCTGCCCCATGGGACAGGCCTGAGCTGGGACGTGACGGAGCAGCGCGCACCGCTCCTGGCCATCTGAGGCCCAGTGCTCCAGACGTCCCTCCCCGCAGGAGGGGAGCGCACGGGGACCCGCTCCACTGCTGCGGCTCCCTTTGGCCCAAGTGCCTGGCAGAAGGCTGGTGCTGGCACATATTGCTGACTGGGGCCAGAGCCACGGGAAACTCCATGGACAGTGTCGGTGCCTGGATGCCTGCCCTCTTGGCTCTTGGTGGCTGCAGGCAGCCCCGGGGGAAGGCAGCAGAGCTGCTGTTCCCCGCTCCAGCTGAAGGTGCTGCCCTCACTCATACAGGTACCGGCCAGCACAGGCCCAGCTCAGCTCTCCAGAGCGCTGGGCACAGAGGATGGCACCCCCGTCCCCCAAGTACTCCCCAGGGAGCCTTTTTGAGACCATCCACTAAATACTGTTTTTTTAAGAGTGTCTGGCTTTTTTTCCTTGTTGTGGGCACAGACTTCTGGGGATGAGAGGAGAGGGAGCCCCATGATTCCCCAGTGTGAAAAGAGGATAAAGGGCATATAACCAGCAGCACCTTAAGCTGCTCAACATACAGAAGGGCACTGAAGTCCCAGCCTGAGCTGCATGGAGACCCTGGGAGCATTACCAAAACAGATATATTTATTCCTCTGGCACGTGGGTTATCACACACCACATGTGTACACAGACCTGTCCTTTCCACTCACATGTGGTGGGTCTGTCCATCACTGTCCCTGGCTGCAGCAGAGGGTGGACAAGCCATGAGCAGCACAGCTCCTTCCCTGCTGTGGGTGCCGGGAAGGTGCTGCAGCGAGAGGTGTTTTCTGCTGGCCTCCATGCTTCAGCCCTGGCACTCCGGGCAGCACTGGGCTCCGAGGGTCCATGGCATCAGTTGGATGGCTTGGCAGGTTAGCAGGGCACCAGTCAGATTGTCGGTCAGCACAGGAAGGGGATGCAGGGCACTCACCTGCCTGGGCTCCCCAGCAGGAACCTGTGGGGACAGAGAAGGTGCCATCAGCTGTGTTCTGTAAACGCGGGCACCCTCCCCCTCAGCAGCTCCTGCCACACACACTCACCATTCCCCCCGTGCTGCCACTGCCTCCTTCCGCACCAGTCTCTTTTTGTCATCCAAAGGCTTGGCCAGTGCCCGGATAACTCGGGCCTTATATGGGAGTAGCTGTAGGACAGAAGGGGATCTTAGTGAGAGAACTGGGTGCTGGCTGCCCCCCAGGAGGTTTGGGAACCCCTTGCCCCTCTACATGCAGGAGCAGGCAGCAGGGCGCTGCAGGAGCACTTACCACTGGTGTGGGCAGGCAGGTGAGTGCATGGGCACAGCGCAGGGCAGCGATGCGGACAGCCTGGAACAGACAGGGCTGAGGGCAGCACAAGGGGGTGGCGGAAAATGGCACGGCAGGGAGGAAGGAGGGGGTGCACGCACCATGGTGGGGCTGGAGGTGAGGTTGAGGAACTTGGTGACCAGTGTGTCGACATGCAGGCTCATGATCTGGGGAGCTTCGAGCAGCAGCGGCTGGAGGCAGCTCAGTGTGGAGAGCTGAACCACACGGTCTGAGCAGGACAAGGCCTCAAGCAGGAGGGAAAGCAGCTGCAGAGAGGGAAGGATACAGGAGTCATGAATAACCCCAAACCATACACTCCGCAGTGTCACAGCTCCCCCTGCCTGCCGCCAAGGCTGGCTCTTACCGTGGGCAACTCTGTCACCAGCACAGGTTTGGGGAGGTGGTTGAGCACATGGGACAGGCCCTTCAGGTAATTGGCCTTCACGTCTGTGGAAAGCAGAGATGGTCACAAGCAGCCAGGAGAAGGGGGGGATGCTGGCTCAGGTCCCCTGGGTAAGGGGTCAGGGATGGTGAGGCCAGGCTAGGGGTGGCCTCTCACCGGGACCAGCCCTGTGGAAGCCCTGCACCAGCTTGGGGACGTTGTCAGTGAAGAAGCGCTGGCGGAACATGATGCGCACATCAGCATGGCAGCCCTTGTGCAGCACGTCCGGGGACTCCGCCATGAGCAGGGAGAAGCCGTCGGCCGCAGCTGGGCCCAGCTCCATGTCACCCAGCAGGCCCAGCAGCTGTGAGGGAGAGAGCCCTGAGAAGGAGTGCCCTGCTGCTGGGAGTCCGCAGCCAGATGTGGGGAGCAAGGCAGGTTTCTCAGACACTACCCAGCCCCACCACTGCCTACCTTGTCTGTCAGGCAGGAGCTCAGGGGGTGGTAGCGCAGCACCAGGGCTTTGGTCACCTGTGCAGGCAGAACAGTCAATGCCAGGCTGGCCCCTCCTGCCCCTCTGGCTCACACATCCAGGGTAGGCCTTACCCAGAGCAGCAAGGTGAGTGCCTGCGTTCGGCAGGGTCCCTCCGCAAGGCTGGGCTCCATCCTGTTCACTGCAAGCTGCAGGATCTCATCCAGCTGCTGCCCTGAGGACACAGAAGGGACAGGCTGAGCCATTCCCCCTGCCAGCAGTGGGCAGGGACCCACAGCATCTACCCCAGCTCACTTACCTGCGGGGTGCTTGTTCACCAGCCCTGCAAAGCACTTGGCAGCTGTGGTGGCTGTGAAAGGGCAGTTGCAGGAGCAGCTCAGTGCCAGCAGCTCCCGGAGCAACCATTCCTGCTGAGGAATTGCCACCTGGAAGAGACATGGATTGTTTTATGGCCCAGGGCTACAACTGCTCTCTCCTCCTGCCTGTGGACACAGGCTGGAGGGTGCTTGGGCAGGGCTCCTCTCCACCCTGCTCCCCACCAACATACATTGCGGGGCAAGGAGCAGACGAAGGCCATGAGGAGGGCGACCAGGCGTCTCTGTGCCTCCAAGCACTCCCCATCCTGTGAGGGAAGAACAGTGCCCATGTCAGAGTCCTTACTGCCAGCCTATGCCAACATCCTCATTCTCTGCCCATTCTGGTGCCCCAGCCCCAGTCACCAAACACACCCCAAAAGGCTGGAAGGAGCAAGGAAAACTGTTCTGGGGTAGGAAGGAGACCTCTCCATTCAGAAAGAGGGGGACCACATGAGACACGCTCTGGGCAGCCAGCCTAGGAGAAAAGAAATGTTGCAATGTGCTGCTCTGGGAGGGTTACCAGAGCTCCTGAGTACCTCCCAGGAGGCACAGATGGCAGCAGGGGGCACACAGCCTGCCCTCTCCCCATGATGGAGTGTCCAGCTTCCCACCCAAGCATCACTCACTCAGGGCTCAGGTGAGTGGTGGCAGCGCTGATGACAGGGACCATGGCCGCCAGCACCTCTTCCTCCAGCAGTGCCTTGCCCAGCAGCTGGTGGGTGCTCTCTGCAGGTAGTGGGAGGAAAGGAACTTGCTGGAGCCTGCTGTCCAGAGGGAGGAGGCAGGCACAACTCACTGAACCCACACTGGACTGGGGCAGGGCTCTGGGGCAGTGTGATGGAGCAGCAGGGCCCACAGTCACCCATGGGTGCCAGAGGGCATCAGCAGTAGTGCTGACTGCAGAGTCAGGGACTCCAGAGAGCCTGGGAGCTGCCTGCCCTCCCCTCTCCCACTCCAGCCCTACACTTACCTTGCATGGCTGCCTGCACAGCCATGGCCAGGAGGCATGGCACCACCGTCTGGTGGAAGTACCAGCAGCCCTCTGCATCCTGCTGGCACTGCAGGGCCACACGGTGCAGGCTCTGGCACACAGAGACCACGTCCTGGGTGTTCCCAGCCTTGCTCCCTGCAGGGCACAGTCACCATCACATCAAACAGCCTCAGCACCCAGCCCCCTGATTGGCACCAGGAACCCAGGACAAGGCAGCTCTCCTGACTCCCACGCCACTGGTGGGATTCACAGCCCAGCCCTGGGCTCCTTGCACGACTTCCAATCTGACTCTCCCAGCCATCACCAGTAACAGAGGTAGCTCCTGCCCAGACACACTCCATGGAGCTGCCTGCTGTGGCTCCTTTACCTTTCTGCACCTTCTGGAGATGTTGCAGCAGGACAGGGACAGTCTCCCTCACAATGCTGGTGTGGGTGGACACGGCTGCCAGGGCCTGCAGGCAGCGCTGCTGCAGGGAGCAGTGGCTGTGGGAGCTCTCCTCCCGCTCTGAAGAGGAAACACACCTCAGAGAGGAACTGGGGTGACCCCAGGCCGCCTCGCCCAAGGGCAGTCAGGGACCAGACCCTGCCAGGGTGGATGAGGTGAGGCAGCACAGCAGACCCAGCCTGTGCCAGGCCCAAGGCACTCTGCCTGCTGCAGCTGGGCAGCTCCTCCCCATGAGGGTGATCCTGGCCACATGGGCTGGCTGCCTGACAGCCACAGCCTTCGCTGTGCCAACACACTGGGAGTATCCCAAGGAGAGCCACCAACCTACACCGTGTGGCACAGCCCCACTGCCTGGCAGGAACTGAATGGGGACAGGACAAGCTTCACTCCAAAACCAGACATTGCTCCCTCTCAGCCCTACCTGACTGCAGCTCCTTTTCAAGCCTGGGTACCATGTGTCCAGAGAAAACATTTGGGTAGATGGGGGCCAAGGACCCAGCTGCCTCCATCGCTGCTTCACTGCCAGGATGGGAAGAGAGTGGGAAAGATGACACGAGGAATACAAACTTGGGCCTGCTTGTACACCAGCTGCACAGACCTGAATGTGCCTCCAGAAACTCATTTCTCAGCAATTTGTCTTTTTCACCCTTCTGGCAGGCAGAGCAGAGCTCCCTGATTTGACAGGCCCAGACTTTCTAATTTCCAGCCCATGAATTGCCTGGTTTATCCCACATGGTCTTTTAGTTCAGAGAGCCCCTGTGCCTTCCCCAGACTATAGCCCGTCTCTGCAGCAAAGCCAGGATTTGTTCCTCCTCCCAGAATGTGGGTGACTGCAGTGGTGCCAGCCCATCTCTCACCTGCTCTGGGAATCCTCCTCATGAAGAGCGAGACGGATGAGGTGATCCACAACCAGCTCCAGGTCAGAGGAAGACAAGAAGCCTGGAACAAGAGCCGTAGAGGAATACTGCCCTCAGCCAAAGGCAAAGATGCCGATATTCTGGCCAGCATCCTTCCCCCTCATCCAGGCTAGCAGCATCACAGCAGCATACGAAATGCCAGAGATACAAAGTACTCAGCAAAGACAGGCAAGAGAGTGACCGAGTGTCCCTAGTGCTCATGGCTTAGGTAGAAAATGCTGCGACTACTACAGGCAGCAGACAAGGACATCCCATCTCCCAGAAGAGTGTGACACCTCCCTCTGCCTCCCCAAGGGAAACAAGGCACCAACCTTGTAGGGAGCCCAGGAGAGTCAGTGCCTTGATCCCAACCAGCTGCAGCTGCACACTGGGATCCGTCAGCGCCGAGAACACCACAGAACAAACCAGGCCTTGGAGTGACAGCAGAGTGCTCTCATCTGGAGAGAGAGGCATGGTGTCACTGCACAGCCACCACCACCGCACCTGACAGACCCTTTCCGGGGCCCTGCAGTTGACACCCA